ATAGTTCCACTATATGTAATGATGTATGTATGTAAGTACACTATTAAATATAGTGGAAGCTCGTATTATGAAAAAGTTACTTCAGTACTGAATGCGAGTTAGTGAAATATCAAAAAGACTCTTCTCTTTTTCATTTAAGAGTTTACTTTTGTCGGTGCAAAAAGACTAAAGTGTAATATTTCCCTTACATAAATTACTTGATACCTACGATACCTAGAGCACTAAATAGATTATTATAATCAAAACTGAGTCACTGACAAAAGGTCATCTTATTCATATTCATACGGATCTCATAAACAAGAGTGAGTGAAAAGGAAACATCCAACAGTTGCTATTATTTTTATTTTATCTTAGACTTAGATAAATAACTATGCCTTGTCTATAATATAATACGTTAATAGGTTAAATAGTGGCTTTCTACCGAAGCTTATCAGAATGTAGCAATCTCCAAGATTCTTCTTCAATCTTTGTCAGTTTTCAAAAATAATTCAACTATTTTAAATATTTATAATAGACTATTATCCTGTTAATATTATATTATATTTGCATGTTTATTAGATGCTATGTATAGTTTAGAAGTTTACGTTGATAAAAATTAATTTTACAAATTTACATCATTATTAATTACGTAACAAAAACTTGTTTAATAAAGTCATTTAAAAAAATTGTCGCACTAATTGTATTTTAATCTTTACAAAATATTTTAAAAATTCAAAATTTTATTATACCGTCCATACTTGATCCAAGTTAGAACTATGCCAAAAAAGATCAATTAGTTTATAAAAAACATATTTAATATTTTTTTTTTTTATTTAAGGACACTTTTATATTATTTTTAGCGTTGTTATAACACCTGGTAGAAATAACGGGGTTAAATTTAATAATTGCTAATTAGAACAAAATATGAATATTTTTTTTTGTGTAAAAAGTACTTTGTAAATATATAAATTTGAAAATTTATATTTTCTAAATTAATTATGATTTTTATAGCTCTTTAAAAAACATATTGCAATTGCTGGATCAAGAAACGTGAATTTTGCTCAGAAGTTCCTTATTTTACAGAGTGTAATAACATTACCATCATCATTATCATAATAACAGCTCTTAAATGTCCACTGCGGAACATAAGCTTCCCCATAAAGGGGGGTTTCGGCAGTAGATGCCACGCTTGGCAGGAAGATTGGCAACCGCAGTTGGGATTTGGTTATGTTTTCAAAGGGACGCTGCTGCCTATCTCTCGATTATTATGTTCCCTAAGTCACCTCATACGACACCCACGAGATCTTTTTAATGGGTGAAAATAGAATGGTAACCTCGCCTGCGCTATCGTTGTACACAGGCGTGGTACCAGTGAGGAATGATGGATGGAGATGAAAACAGGTCGGATAGCCCATCGTGAAGAATTCAACAATAACAACGACGACGGTTTCCAAGAGGAACCGCGTGGAGGTCGACCTGATATTAAGATATTGTTAGCAATGGGGTTGTTCTTGTTTCCCCCCAACACGCACAGGTTAGAAAGGGGTGGCCCATTCTATGACGGGACCACATGACAATAACATTATATTAAACATAAAACCTTGATCTAAAATATCCGTTAAATCTTGCAAACATAGATATTGTCTTTTTATCATACATACAAATACATTCATACATACAATCAAAACTTTATGAAAATATTGCGAAAATTTTCGTATGAAGGTATGAAGAAACGAATCTTCTCATATTTATTAATCAAACTTTTCTTTGGAAGGAATAAATTGGATCTAAGTTCATCTCCGTAAATTGCAAAATCACGAGAGTTCACATATATTTTTTTGTACCCGCGTAATTTTTTTTTTTATAATGTAATGGTAACCCCGCCTGTGTTGTTAATATTTATACATTAGCGGGGCACCAGTGAAATATGCTTAAATAGGCGTAAATGAAAGCAGGTCAATTGACCCATCGAGATGAATTGTATGAGAGTTAACCACAATGGTTTCTAAAGAGAACCGCATGTGTCAATATACCAGAGGGAGACTTTGTACAAAAGTTGTCTGCTTGAGTATCTCTGTCCTATTTGTATTTTTATTATTATCGTAAACCAGTTGTGTTTCTGTTTTGCTTTAAAATCTGATAATGAAATTACAGGGCACAGAGACATAATAGCTTAATCCTTAGGAATAGCAATGCATGAAGGATAGTATGAGCGAGACATTATACTCTGTTATGTTCATGTTACTATTCATATCTATAGGCGACCGTTACCCTTTTTCATCAGCCATTAGCTTCTTTTCAATTCAAAATTGCATAAAAAATATACTGGAAAAGTTTTAATGTAATATAGTCAGAACATATTACGTATAACTATAAACTATTCCTAGAAAATCTCAAAGAAAAAAGGTATTTGTTTCAATGTATGAAGATCAGCGATTGGTATCGAGATTACATAAAAAAAGTATATTGGTGTGAACATTCCCTAAGCGGTGAATAAAAAAAGTTTGCCAACAATTTATTTTTGGTTTGTCGAAGATATAAAAAGTACTCTCAAGTTGGCAATATATTGGTGACATTCGCCAGTGTCAGTTCTCGCCGAAGAAAAAAGTTTCAAGTCTTCGTATCGATATTATTACTATTGCTACTTTTAACAACTTATTAAAGTCCCTCTAATAGGGGAAAAGATATTAATAATCGTATCTAATAGTATATATATACTAATACATCGACCTTCACGCGGTTTCTCCTGAAAACTATCGCGATTAATTCTTGTCGAATTCATCGTGATAGGGTAACTGAACTGCATTCTTTCTCACCTATCGTCTCTCAGTGGTGCCTCGTCAGTGAATACCAAAAGCGTAGGTGGGGTAACTTAATCATCATCATCATCATTATATCAGCTGTTAACTGTTCACCCTTAGGGGGTCTTGCTAGGAGTTGCCATGCTTGGCAGGCGGGTTGGCAACCGCAGTTTTATTGATGTTTGATGAGGGACGTTGCTGCCCATCCCTGTAATAACCTAGTTTTATTATTACGCTGGCCAGATTGGTAGTTTTATTTCAATTTTTTCTGCTCAATTTATGATTCATCATTCATCAGACTACAGCATGGGGTTCTTCAAAAGGGGGGTAAAGAAGTTTCTTCAGGGTCGGCAACGCAAGCGTAATACTTCTGGTATTGCAGGTGTTCATAGGCTACGGTAACCACTTACCATCAGGTGGGCCGTATGCTTGTTTGCCACCTCAGTGGTATAAAAAAAATTATAGCCTTGCCTTTCCCATTTATTTGCGGTCAGCGCAGTATGTTTTCTTCTCAGTCTATGATTAACATGCATTACTTTTTTCCTAATTAAACCATATTTTAATTTAGTTCTCTTCAATTAGATATATACAAATACAATTTTTTCTACCATACCAATTTTTACCTACGACTTCATCTATATAACCAAAATAAATTGAATTAATTCGTATAAAAAGCATTTTGAGTTTTAATATAGGAGAGGGTACAACTATGTACAATATATCATTAAATACTTTCAGTCTCTTAAGATTTTTATAGTAGTCCATTGCTGGCAATGGAGTTACTTGTCCCTTTTACTAAAATCTATTTCCTTATACACTTATACACATAAATTTTTATTAATTATTAAGTAAATTATTATAGTTTTCCTAAATAATCACGTTAATTCCCATCTCTTATAAACCATAAAACCCTTTCCTATCAATATGTTGATTAGGTTTGGTGTCACACTCTTTGTAAAATAAACCGCCAGCAGAAACAAATTGCCCTTTTCCCCCATGGGGAATATTTTTCTCTATACAGGAGAGGGAAGTGTTTCTCCTCCCACCCTTTTTTTCTTCTTAATATAGATATTTAGATGTCCTATATAGTACTAAAATTATCAAAAAGTTATATCAACACTAGTGTCTAACGGTAGATCGAAGGGGGGGAGGGATTGTTCGTAATGAGGACGTTAATCCCCATTGCTAACAATATACCCTGTTTGGTCGACTTTTACATAGTTCTTCTGGAAACTATTGAGAATAATTCTTGTTGAATTTATAGCAATAAGCTAACTAACCTGAGGGCCTACCATGAAATGTTTTCGGAAATTTCGGAGCCAAACGAAACAAAAATTTGATGTTATAATTACATAATACATGCCGTTTGAAAATATTAAAAATGTTAAAATATTGTTCCTTTTGACTTTTGTGATAGGATGTACGACGAACGAAATGTTATCCTCTATTTATTGGTCCGATTATGGTATAAACAAAAACACGAAATTGAGTCCGAAATTTCGGAATTTCATTTCATGGTAGTCCGCTGCTTTCAATTTCGCCTATCATCCCTGGCTGCTGCCCCGCCAGTGTATACTGATAGCGCAGGTGGGGTTATCATTCAATTATTAAAAGAAAAACGGTAGGTCGAAAGAAGACACGTGGGTTAGTTCCATTTGATGAAAATAAACATTTACTTACGTTAAACGCAGAAGATACGAAATTAGATACTCATTCATTTATAAACAGATCAATGTTCAAATAAACTATGCGTAAGTAATGTCTATTTAATTTTAGTTTGTTTCAGAAAATTCGCCAGTAAGTACACAAAACTAGTAAACTGTATTTTCCTTAAGTCCGATAATTTGCGTGAATTTACGTTAACAACGTGTACGTATTAAAATTACATAAATAGTACTATTAAAATACAATGATTTAATATATTTTTACACTTTTTTAACAACTTTAAATAGCTACGTTTGCTTTTGATATCGTATTAATTTTATCAAGTTTGAAATCTTTGTTTTTCTTCTAAGCATATTATTAATTAATTGAAACTCTACAAGACAATGGAATATGATTTAATTAATTTCAAAATTATCTAAAAGCCGAATAACATGTCAACCTTCGTATAACCTTAGATTTAATTTTAAATTATTAAAATTTTAATAAAGTAGAAAGTAGGCAAGTAATAGGTAATAATTTTAACGACCTACTCTTATAAATTGTTTTTTGTTTTAGTGACAGTGACGATGTGTTTCAAATGTGAAAAATAACAAAGTGAAGTGTATAGTGAACTCAAAATGGACAAAAAAGCGGCAAAAGAACTACCGGGTGTCACGTGCGGGCAAGTGCCACAGAATCGGTGCGACGATTCGCCGGATTTGTCGCCGGAACCGTCGTTCGACGAGTTGCGGAACAGATTCGACAGTGGCGCCACCATGCAACATGCAATGAGACGCGAAATCGCCTCGAACCCTGCTACGCATGGCAGCGCTACTCGTCAAGTCGTTAGCGGGAAGGTTTTTAAGAAGTGCAAGAGCGCTACATTTCAAATAGATGGCGCCACTTACACAATCGGTGAGTTATAAGTTCATTTATAAAACATACGTATATAAATACAGAATTTCTAATAGTGGCAATAAGTTTTACTACAAACCTCCGTATTTAAAAATTTTATTTTATGAATTGATAGTACAAGATAGTTATTTCTTAGTATCGAGTATTAACTCACTTTTATGCAATATATATATAAACAAGTATAATATCGGTCTCAATTTTTGTTTTATAATTTTTGTTCTTTGACTATAATATTAAAACTTCAGCTTCTGATTCATTGATAGAAGGTCCTCTGAAACATAGTAATTTCAATTCTAGTAATGAAATAGATTTACGACAAGTTATTCTTATGAAATAACAGAAAATATGAAAAGGTTTTTGGATACATATTTAAGAAACATAAAAATTATACTGTTCTTTTTTTAATTCATTTGTCCTATGAGAATGCATTTATATTTAAGAGGATTTTAAAAACTTAAAAATGAAAAGAAATAGTCGTATTATCTAATAATAATTTTGTATGTATTTGAAAGCTAATATTTATTAATCGTTTATTGTAATTAATAATAACAAAAGATAGTGGATAAACTCAAGAAGAAATTGCAAGACGACTTGGTCTCAAATTAGCTGATATAGAACCCCAAATTGACCATTTAAAATAATAATAATGAATTCTTCTTATGATATAGTACGACTGTACTACTAAATTTAACAATAGGTCCCTTTGATTCCTTCAAGTACAGAGTCGTACAATAGAAACTGACTTCAGTTGATTAAATCTGTACAGAGTTTATGCGAAATTAAATTAGTTCCTACTTCGTGTACCTTTAACTTTGCTGTGTTTAGCTGCGCAGCTATTTTTTATTCACCCAGGAAATGTTATACAATTAATTAATTTTGTTAGGAACTCGCTTTCTTGGAATTATTAAAATATTTCACTAACAAGATAAGCGATTATGACTTAATCATGTTTCGATTTTCCTAGAAGTTCTTCATTGTGAGTAATTGCATGTATATTATAAAGTTAATAGAATATACACTTTAGATGTTTTTTCACAAAAAATGCGTTTTGAATCAGTATACAATGTATAGAGTATCAACACAGAACTAAACTTTATCGTTTACTAGTATTGATATCTGTAGTCGCTGCCTCATCTTCTGATTGTCGTGAATTCGATATCCACGTAATACAGAGTGTGTTTATTCACAGATATTGGTTTGAAGTTTATTATGTATATAAATATGTAGATACAATAAATGAATTTAAGTATCGACAGATATCGCGAAATATGATAAATAGACTATTATTTCTTCACTTGATTTTATTTGACGTAATATATGATGTTAAAAATAATATTAGCCAAAATCGCTACATTTAATGCATAATTGTTAACGAGTAAAATAAGATATGCAAATGAACAGATTTATTAAATAAGTAACAGTAAATTTAAACGTTAGTAGCTCATTAATTTGTGAGTTAATTAACGTAACGCGTTACTAAATGCAAATTCCTCCTGTGATCACATCAGGTTCCTTACGGTTTAGTCTAAGAGCCTTTATCCTTATAAACATACAAAATAATAATATTATGTTAAACTTTATATGGAAATTAATTTTGGACGAAGGAGGTAAATTTTCACGAAATTATGGATATTAGGGAATCGTGAAGTACTTGGCGGTACCACGAAATCATGGAAGATATTTCAATTACGCCTTATTCCTGTAAATATTCATTTCGTGATTTCTTGATACCACTAGGTATTTCATGAAATTCTATGGTATATATGGAATATTATTTACATGTCGCAAACACATAGATAATATTCTATACAACGTATTACGTACCGTAATATAAATAACTAACTGTTCCCGTGAAATAGTACATGCGAAAAATCTTTTTATTGTATATTAAATCTTTTAAAATGTCCAATGTAAATTATGTACAATAAAGATTTTACAATACATAATATTTTTAATAATAATTTAAGACTGTGTTCTATTGGTAATTTTTATTTAGAAACTAGACTAGTAGTTGTCAATCGACTTTGATAAAATTTGTAAGGGACCAACTTGAACATATGTCCTTTCATGTAAAGTTCCAAATCAGTTTACGAGTATAAACATATACACAGAGTTAGGAGGTAACAAACATAAAAAATACAACCGAAATAAAACTTTTTTTTTACAATCCTGTTAAAAACCCGTCTAGACATTTATGATGATGTTGTCAACAATAATGTAGATAAGCTATAATATTAATATTTGTTTTTGAATAATTATCAAAATTTTATTCAATTCAATTCATTTATTTATACGAACATGAGTACAAAATTATCTTAAATTATAAAAGAATATATCAGTCATGTCCGGCCGTTTCCTACATATAAATTTGTAGCTCATGTATCATTTCTATACATTAAGACAAATAAATATTACAACAATAAATATACAGTTAAAAAAAATAACATTATGTCATATTTATATCACGTATTTTTTTGTTTCTACCGTGAAGCAGATGTGTTTGCATGGCTGTGTTTCAGTTTGAAGGATGGGATATGACAGTGAATTTACAGGGTACAAAGGAATAACACCTGAATCCTCAGGAATGGCAACGCATGGGGAGTATCATGGGCAAACGGTATACTCTGTTATAACTATCGTACTGCTCACGTCTATAGGCGACGGTTACTACTTTCCATCAGGTGGGCGGTTAGCATGTTTGCCATTCTAAGTTGCATAAAAAAAGTACTTATTTTGTCATTTAAATATTAACATATATCTAAAAACAAGTTAAGTAGACTATTCTTAGATTGATTAATATTTAATTTTCTAAAGTCCTTTGCTAAGTGATTATATATTTTACAGCCATGCAGTATATACTTTTTGAAAACAGTACTAATCTTTGTTGAGGAACATGTAGTTTGTATTTATATATATTTCTTGATTCGATAATTATGTAACGTTACATCTACGAGTATCATCATCTTCCTCCCCATATCCCAATTATTTTTTGGGGTCAGCGTTATATGTTCTTCATTTTGTTATATTTATGAATATTTTATTTAATATTCAATTGTCAAAATGTATGTAAGTGCAATACTTCAAATCAGGTGCGTTTATTTGGTTAATTCTTTTTTTGTATTTATCACTGTCAGGACAAAGTTTTGTACGAAAGAAACATCTAAAAAAATGTTACGAAAATTAAAAAATGTAGATTAAAAATTCCACTTAAAAATGTGAGTGAATAAGTGAGACAGAAGACAGTAGGAAGATCTTCAATAATATTGAAATATTTTACAGTTGGACAGACATTGCAAAACATTGCAATAAAGTATGTTATTTTAATTCATTACTTATTTACTGTAAAAAACGATTTGGTCTAATTTTAATCGTTAGTGCTGTATGAAGCCATAACTGATAACTGGTTTTTCAACAAAACTTATTTTTAGCGTATTTAACCAACTCTTTACTGCATATTCTTGATTATTATAGGAAAAAAATATTTGAATTTCTTAACCTTTATTTCTACTTCACGCTTAAAACAGTAAATAGTCGAATTACACAGAGTAAATAAATTGTTATATACCTAAATTCAAATGTAACAGTGAACTGAGAATTTAAATAAAATTGTGGCAAATTCCACAGAAAGTCTATCCAGTGCAGCGATAAAAACAAATTGTTGGGGTAATAGTTGAATGTTGGCCAGACACGCGAACTTGGGTTGCTAACAAATTAAAAATACAAAAGCAAGTGTACTCAGGAAACATTGTTTCCAAGTTAAACAAATTTAACTAGGTCTGGAGTTAGTTGTTGTTGCGCAGTCACGGGTACGTTGCTTGCGTTACATACACAATGCGTTACCACATGTCTCCATAATATACTTAAGTTGAAAGATAATGCGGTCCTTCTATGTATTTGCTCATAGTTTAATGTTACTTCACGTTATGGTTTCCTTTATAAGTAAGGTGATATCTCGAATAAATATATAACAATATAAAACAAATATATAGCGATTTTTTGACTTTGATGTTGTATGGTTCATCGTTTATAAGAGATGGAAAAAAAACTTCTGCCTTGAAAATAGCAGATTGATGTAGCATAAAAGTGCTACATCCGTCTACTTGTGACCATGGCAGAAGTAACCTGATCGAAGCGTTGAGAAAACTCAAGTAAATTACTACAATTTACCTAATTGATTGCATTCATTTACATCTCTTACGAATCAAAGAAATTTAATAAAGAAAAATAATAAAAAAAAACAACACTTTTTCTGTCAATATCTTAGTAATATTGCAGCCGAGTGAAGTAGAGATAGATAATTATTTATATGATTAATTGATTAGAATCATTTTGTACAATTCCGCTACCACTAGAATGTGTGTAACTGCCAAAACTCGAAGATTGGATTCGATTCGATGGGATTCGAACCTACAACATTATTCTGTTAATAATTTAAGATTTTTAAATGTAGAGTTACACATTTAAAATATTTTCAAATGGACTGTTTCCGATTGTACTCTATTTTATTATTAGGTTCCTTTACCATACAATCTGGGAATGAAGAGAAATCAACAATCACAAGACGAGAACATATTTTGTGAGCTTGCAGCCAGACATGACCTCTAAGGTAATATAAAAAGACAACAAAAGCCTACTAATATCCCACAATTGGGCGTCTTTATAACGACAACGCGAAATTGCGTGTTTTACAGTAAATTTTGCTTCGTATCAAGTTTTTGCTCCACAAACGATAGCTTCAGTCATTCCAAAATCAATATGAGGCCACCACGAGAGCATACAAATAGGATTTCAAAAATAATTATTAAAATTAATTCATAATTGGAATCGTAATCACTGAAATAACAAAGCCAGAAATAATTTAAGATTTGTTCTACTAAAAACTATTAACTTCAATTGTGACAAAACCAATTATTTTTATTTGAAAACTAAATTACTGAACTAATTTTGATAAAATGTCTAAGGTCTATTTCCTTTCAGGAAAAAAATCTAATTCGGTTTAT